TCCCCAATTCATTCTTTTCTTTCTTTCTTTCTTTTTTCTTTCTTTTCTTCTTTCTTTCACCCAATTCCTACTTTTTACAAACCCAATTCATTCATTTCTTTTCTTTCCTTTTTACACCCAATTTCTTTCTTTCTTTTTCTTCAATTCTTTCTTTTTTCTTTTCTTTTCTTTTCTTTCTTTTCTTTCTTTCTTTCTTTTCTTTCTTTTTCTTTCAATTCATTTTTCAATTCTTTCTTTCTTTCTTACACCCAATTCTTTTTCTTTTCTTTCTTTCTTTTCTTTTCTTTCTTTTCTTTTATTCCATTCTTTCTTTCTTTTTTTCTTTCACCCAATTTTTTTCTTTTTCTTTCTTTTTTCTTTGACGTTACACCCAATTCATTCATTCTTTTTCTTTTCTTTCTTTTTCTTTCTTTTCTTTTCTTTCTTTCTTTCTTTCTTTCTTACACCCTAATTCATTCATTCTTTTTTCTTTCTTTTCTTTCTTTTTTTTTCACACCCAAATTCATTCTTTCTTTCTTTCTTTCTTTCTTTTTTACTTCAATTCATTCTTTCTTTCTTTCTTTCTTTCTTTCTTTCTTACACCCAATTCATTCATTCTTTTTCTTTCTTCTTTCTTTTTATCACCCAATTCTTTCTTTCTTTCTTTCTTTCTTTTTCTTTTCTTTTCTTTCTTTCTTTCAATTTACTTTCTTACACCCAATTCATTCATTTCTTTTTTTCTTTCTTTCTTTCTTACACCAATTCTTTTCTTTCTTTCTTTCTTTCTTTTCTTTCTTTCTTTCTTCTTTCTTTCTTTCTTTCTTTTCTTTTTTTATTCTTTCTTTTCTTTCTTTTCTTTCTTTCACCCAATTCTTTCTTACAACCCAATTCATTCATTCTTTCTTTCTTTCTTTCTTTCTTTCTTTCTTTCTTTCTTTCTTTCTTTCTTTTCATCCATTTCTTTCTTACACACAATTCTTAACTTCTTTCTTTCTCTCTTGCACCCAATTCTTTTTTCATCCAATTCTTTCTTTCTTACACCTAATTCATTCTTTCTTTCTTTCTTCCTTTCTTTCTTTCTTTCTTTCTTTATTTCTTTCTTTCTTTCTTTCTTTCTTTCTTTCTTTCTTTCTTTCGTGTTTGTTTTTCTATTCTTTCTTACTTTAAATTTTTCTTTTTATTTATTTATTTTCTTTCTTTCTTGCTTCTTTTTCTTTGGGGGTTGTTTTTCTATTTTGTCTTTCTTTTATTCTGTTTTATCTATTTACCTTCTTTCTTTCTTTCTTTCTTTCTTTTGAGCTTATTATTCTTTTCTTTCTTACTTTTCTTTTTTCTTTTTTACTTAGTTATTTCTTTGTTTTTTTTTCTTTTAGTTCCTTCTTTTTCTTTCTCTTTATTTTCCTAATTTTCTCTCGCTCTTTTGTTACTACCTTTCTTTTCTGTTTTCTCTCCCCCTCTCTCTTTAGTTATAAATTTCCCCTCCTGGCCATCATTTCTCTTTTGATTTTTTTCCTGCGTTGCTCGAACTTTTCTCCATGTTAATCAAATCCTTTTTGTCTTTCCCTCTCTCTCCAATTTCTCCATTATATTTTTCTCCTATTACCTCCACTACTTCTTATTCTCTTCTTTGTCTTCCTCCCCCTACCATTTTGACTCCTCCTTTTATCATCTTCACTTTCTTTCCTTCTCACTTATTTTTTCATTTTAAAATTACCCCTCTTTACGAGTCTGACATTTTCTTTTTCTCCCTATTATTTTACATTCTTTCTCATTTCCCTTGTTTTCAGTCTACCCAGTATTATTCGCGTACACGTCTCCCCGACGTTCACACACACACGCACACGGATACGTACATGCACAAACTCTTAGTCTCTCTTTATCTCTCTTGTTACTGGTTTATTTCTCTTCTCTCTCTCTCTCTGTTCTTCTCACAATTTCCTCCCTTTTCCACTTTCATTCTTTTCTCCTCTCTTCTTTAACCTCCGCTTTTCTTTCCTTATACTTCTCTCTCACTCTTCACCCACTTATTTGAATCTTTCATATTTAAGCTACAATCTCCTTCCATTCTTTTGGTTGCATCCTTTTCTCTCTTCTTGTTCTTAGCTCTTTTCTTTTGCATCTCTTTTTTTTTTTAAAAATCAGTCTTATCCCCACTCCCTCTCTCTTTCTTACCTTATACTCTCTTTTTCTATTTCACTCTCTATGTCACGACCCGATGTAAACAGTGTTTTTTGGTCGACGCCTTTCTCGAAAGGTCAAAATTGCATAAACAAAATCTATCTATCTATCTATCTATCTATCTATCTATCTATCTATCTATCCCAGTCAATTAATATAGGTTGGTCTGTTGTCTATTTGTCTCTGCGCGCGCGCGCGCACACACACACACACACACACACACACACACACACACACAATAAATAAAAAGAGAATGTTAGTCAACACTCAGAGGCGACAGGCTGTTTCATTGTGTCAGTATGAAACAGCCTGTCGCCTCTGGAATGTTGACTTCAATGTTCTCTTTATATTTATATTTACATACGCTCTATCTCTGATATTGAGCACTTTATCCCATAAATATAGCACACCTTAAAACTATATTTCTTCATATATATATATATATATATATATATATATATATATATATATATATATATATATATAAAAAGAAAGAACAGTAAGATATAAAATCCGGTGTTCTTATAGATATTTTTATTTTTACAAAATAGTGCTCAATGTAAATTTTTCGCTTGAAAATGAAATGGAACTAATGCTTTTAATTTAATTGCAAAATTAAATTCGGGTTTTTTAACTTCTATTTTTGAAACATGGTTGGAACTGTGTAGCGAAAAAAAATATTTTAAATCAATTAATTTATAATATATATATATATGCATACCCGGTGTAACAGAAAGATTGTCCAAATCGTGCAACAGCATCGGATAATTGTCCATCCCACAAAAAGTTTAATATCTAAAAAAAAAAACACTAAACTAATTGAGTTTCTTTTTTCCAGGTTTTCAGATAAAGCATTTAGCCATCTTGACACTATTTGTGGTAAGAATTACTGTAAAACCCTTTGAGTTAATCAGTTAGAAAGATAACAGGATAAAATCGTTTTGTATCTGACCCACTTGTCTTCTCAACTGAGCAATGGTGAGAGGAAAACGATCATTCAAGCCTTCAGTAATTGTACCAACATTCATACTCTGGCTTCCATCTTCAAAGTCCATCCAAGAAGCATAAAGAGAACAATGAATAAGTTTAAGAGGGAACAGTGGAGAGGAAAACCGGATCAGGAGGTCACAACAGCAAGAGGGGTCATCATTTCAACTTAGATGTAAATACATTCTTATTGTTCAAAGTAGAGTTTAATAGTGTTATAAAAACTCAGAGAATTCCAGTTATTTTTAAATTCATTTCTAAGATAACAGTTCAAAGCTTAATTTAAAACTTGGACAATTTTCTGTTACACCCGGTGTGTGTGTTTGTGTGTGTTTATATATAATTCGGTTCATATCTATCTATCTATCTATCTATCTATCTATCTATCTATCTATCTATCCCAGTCAGTTAATATCTGTCAGTCTGTTGTGTATTAATATATCTATCTGCAACTCTCCTATACATATATATTTACATTTGGATACGCATTGAGCAGATATGAATGTACGCGAGAGATTCATGGAAGATAGTAGTTTAAAAGCAGTAAAATCGACCTTGCTAACCGAATGATCCTCTGTGGCTCAATCGGATAAGGCACGTCAGGCTATATGACGGTTCTGTATAGGATACAGGTTCGATTCCTGTCGGAGGACGAATATTTTCTATGAAAATTTCGCGGACATTCAGGCTGGTAAATGTTGTTAATACTCTTTATTATAAACAGAGCATTTACTTAAATATGTGTATCTATAAAAAAAAATGTATAAACATAAAAATGTCTTAACATATATATATATATATATATATATATAGGGTGCGATGCATAAATTGTCATCTAAATTACACAAAAATATCTTGAAATAATAAAGAGTAAATTTATTCAATAAAATCGCCATTGACTTCAACCACGGCCTTCGGACGACTTCGGAATCTCCTGCAACTCTTCTGGACGGTCTCTTTAATTAGTTTAATTTAGTGAATGTTGTCATAATCCTTGTCTTCAGTTCATCTTTGGTGTTACAAGGAATTTTGTTGGTCTCTCGCTCAATTGCGCCGGACACAATAATCAAGGGGGTTGCAGCCTGGGTACAAAGGTGGCCAGATGTGATGTAGTCGCAGAAATTGTCTGACAGCAATGACGGGGTTCTCCTGCTTGTGTGGCATTGTGCAGAGTTCTGTTGCCAAGCATAGATCCTTCCAGCTGCCACCTTCTTAACCCAGGGCAACTTTACTATATTGTGCAGTGCACAAAAAAACAAAAAAACGATGCGCGAAATTAAAAATATAAAATGGTGACAATTTCCCCATCGTACCCTGTAGAAGAGAAAGTATAGAGATCATAATATGTCCAGACCAGTAGAACTGGCGGGGAGTTGGGACGAATTTCGTAGCCAAAAAATTTCTTCTATTTGTAAGACATTGCATTTATGTGAAAGTACATTGTCTTGCAATATAGGGATTTTTTTTGCAAAATATACCGTGTCGACGGCTTTTGATGTCTTAGAATAATTTCAACATCAATCAGATAGAATAAGAGCCGATGATTGTGCTTTCTTTGGTGAAGAAAGTCATAAGTGGCATATCATTTTATTTTCAGAAGTTTGCCGACATCACATGGCTAGCAGAAGTTTGGACACGTGACTTTTCGCGTGGTGAAGAATTATTGTACTTACATTTTTGGGACGATATTTAGTGATAAACCCGAAAAATTTAATTCTTTTTAATTCGTTGGTCAAAAAAGCTTCGCTTGGTTTTCTTGGTCCAATGTTAAGTGACTATGGCTTCATTCTGGGAGCAAACAAAGAACCCAGGTTTTTGAATACTGGGTACATTCAGACTATCCCTAGTTAAAAGATTGATGAAACACCTTCCTTGCCATTTCCCTAATTTGTATTGCGTTGTATTGAGCCAAGTTTATATATATATATATATATATATATATATATATATATATATATATATATATATATATATATATATATTTATGGTCCGGAATTATGATATTTCATCATTCTAAAAGTAACCTTGTCATCAGTGATGATAGAAAAGAAAGATATTTCATCATCCTAACCCTCAAGACCACCACCACCAAACAGTAGAGTAGATTAGGGTGCCCATAGTAGTAGAATAGACAAGTGGTAGTAGTACAGGAACTCAGGTCTTTGCCAGCGCTCCGTGAAGATCGAAAAAAGACGATGTCAAACGCCATCCTCACAAACGTAATTTTCAGAACCAAATCAAGTAAGCACTGACTTTTAATCAAAAGACATTGAGAACATATCTACACACCCCATACCAATATCTTGTAATTTACATCATAAAAAGAAAATACAAATTCTTGCTATTTATGTAAGTGTCTCAAGTTTTTATTATTGTTTATGTTATATCGTTGTATGTTTTTATTTGTTTCATTTTCAGCCTACAAAAAGAGAAAAGAATTACTCTTACACTACAAATACATGTAGCAACGGGGTAATTACTTTAACAATTCTCAGATGATATCAAGACAGGATCACTACTAAAACAATCCTAACTTACCAACCCTAGTACAGTACCCTATTAAAAGAGCTGAACTCAATTAAAAATTAATATGGAGAAATCTTAAGTACAACATGTAAATATAACAAAAAAACAACCACCTTCTCTACATTGCCACGTGCGTTAAAGAAATTGCTTTTTCACCACATGCATTGGGAGAATATTTTCGCACCATGTACATTTTAAAAACAAAGATTATTTATATTTAGCTTTCCACTATCCATCTATCTATCTATCTATCTATCTATCTATCTATCTATAAAAGTGAACATAGAAGTCAACACTTAGAGGCGACAGTCTGTTCATCCCATAAATATAGCACATCTTAAGACTATATATAGTTTTAAGGTATGCTATATTTATGGGATAAAGTGCTCAATATCAGAGATAGAGCATATGTAAATATAAATATAAAAGTGAACATTGAAGTCAACACTTAGAAGCGACAAGCAGTTTTATGCTGAACACAATCGTCACGCCGTCTGATGATTGCGTCCAGCATGAAACAGCTTATATATATTAAAACTATATTTCTTCATCTCTCTCTCTCTCTCTATATATATATATATATATATATATATATATATATATATATATATGAAGACATATAGTTTTAAGGTGTGCTTTTATTTATGGAATAAAGTGCTCATTATCAGAGATTGAGCGTGTGTAAATATAAATGTAAATCATCAGGCCTGATGATTGCGTCTGGCATGAAACAGTCTGACGTCTCTGAGTGTTGACTTCTATGTTCACTTTTATATACATTTTTGGGGTGTGATTTGCGTTTTGTTTTTAATTTCCCAGATATACTGAGAAAGCATTGCGCCGTTCGCGTATTTACTATTTTTGTAGGATAAAAGTTACTGTTAGGACTAATAAAAATAAACATAAATAAGCAAAAACAAATTAAAATAATCCATCCAAATAAATAAAATAATAGATAAGTTAAAATCTGTACCCGCCAACATATTAGAATAAACTACAGCAATCAATAAAAAGAAAAATGGACGAATAAATAGCTGTATCTTCCCAGACTAAAACAAACTATTAAATAAGCGACCTAAGCAAATCTCCAATTTTTTTTACTACTTTAGTAAAAACATCGAAAACCGAAAAGAATAAATAAATATATAAAATAAAAAACGAAAATAAAGCACAAATGCGTGTATATGTGTGTATATCCTCTCCCTGTGTGTGTGTGTGTGTGTGTGTATGTCGGTGTGGGTGTACAGATGTGTTCACTGATTCCTCGTAGTGAGACAGTGTGTATATATGGAGAGGGGATATACACATATATACACGCATGCTGACAAAAGCACACGAAAATGGAAATAGAACTAAGAACACACAGGGGTCATTAAAAGATAAGCATGCCGATAACTACTCCATCATTTCTCGAACGAATCTTAATTGTTTTATAACCCTTCACGCAGAACTTTTCACTGCCAGTTCAAGAAAGACGTTTGGATCACACTAACCCACAAAAAAGAGAATATCTCATATCGAGAATATTTAACACCGAAAAACATAAAGAAAAAAATTAATTATTTTTAATAATATGTGGAAATCTCCACTCTTTGCCTGATGACGGTTGCGAGATCGGAAACACGTGTAGCAAAATTATGGAAAATAAAGCATAATATTTTTTTAAAAATCCACATTACAACCAAAAACGTTTGCGGTTTCTCTCTTCCTTTTAATATATATATATATTAGTGAATATGCATAATATCCAACGTCCATAGTATGACTCGGAGTTTCATGCAGTTCATGCAATCTTTAGGTGCTGAAATATTCTGACTTCCTGTTATGGAGTCCGCTTTCCCGTAGCGATGATTCAAAATTGTGTGTTAAAACTTGTTTATTTAATTATTCTTGCGTAAAATATTAGAATTAAATATTAATAATTTGTATTGTTGCAGATTGTAGCTGAGGGAAAATGTATCTGAAGGTAATTTATGTAAGGCAAGATTATGCGTGCCTATTATGCATTATTCCACAACACCTAGGTTAAATTATATTATTACTATATAAATTAATCGAGTACAGCAATGTTGGATTGCATATGTACATAGATATATAGGAAATGTTATTAATGATGGGTTCTAAGAATATTAAAAGATGTTGCATATTAATATTCGTATAATCTATTTTGCAATCTCTTTTAATCGGGGTCAATGTGTTTGAGCAGGTGCTTGGATTTAGGTATACATGTAGATATTAATTTGGACCTCGTGTTCAGCACATTGGGGTTATTTAAGTGTTTTTATATAATAAGCTTCTCCAAAGAACACAAGTTACATCTGTCTCCCTTTCCAATGCATGGCTTAGCTTTTGTGATTATCTTCCAGCTAATGATTAGGCTTATATATATATATATATATATATATATATATATATATATATATATATATATATGTTTAACTTATTTGTTTACACCTTTTATTTTTAAATGTATACTCATATTTCAATAGATGCTGTGTTTTTTTTATTTTTTATTAAACAGTATATTTATTTATTTACATCGACCGGTCTAACAAAATTTCTCGAATATTCAGACCAGTAAATAAATAAATATAATGTTTAATAAATAAAAAAAGTAAAAACAGAGGGTCTACTAAAATATAAGTATCAATTTAACATTTAAACAAAAAATATATGGGATTGAATCAATTCTCTCTCTCTCTCTATATATATATATATATATATGATAGAAATTAGGAGGATTTGAGATAATTACAATTAGTAATTCATTGAGTCTAGAAGAAAGCTCAACAGAATGTCCTGAACGGCTGTTTCGTCCTATATTTGGGACTCATCAGCAGTACGCATTCACTCCCGAGAATTGAAACCCGGACAGTTACGTTATCAGGCAAACGTCATACCAACTGTACAAACGGACGACAGGTAGCAAATCAGAATCGATATAGCGCCGCTCGATCACATATTCTGTGGTGGAACTCATCCAAGTTTCCCTTTTACTCATAGGACTGTGGTCCCACGAGCCACGGCTACTTTCCCCAAGCCGCTCCATCCAGAGCATTAGAAGCCGGTTCAAGCAAGGATATACAAGTGATAGAAATTAGGAGGATTTGATATATATATATATATATATATATATATATATATATATATATATATATATATATATATATATAATATATTATAAAACAGTTATAAAACAGTTATTGTTCAGAGTTAGATAAGACAAGGAGACCCGCTTTTCTCCTCGCTTTATATTACACTTCATGTTGTGCGTCTACAATTAAATAAAGCATTAGGAAATCATTTGGCCCTTATCGCCTGAGGATAACGAAAGGCTGAAACCAATGTAGCGTAATTATTGATTTCTTAAGTTTTTAAATATATATATATATATATATATATATATATATATGGTTTATTTAATGTCGTAGTGTCTTCCCTCTAATGAGTCTATTATGGACTCTTCCACTTAGTAGTAAGAAAAGTAAGCCTCGGGGGAACAGCGATAGACTGTTCTACCGAGGCTGTGACTTTTCGCAGTTCCTGTCGAACACTCTGCGTTTGGCAGAAAGGAACCCGGACGAGGCTGTGCCGAAGGGCAAAGTTTCATCCGGGGAGGTAGATAGACCGGAACCCGTTTATGCGGGTTCTGCGGGGATTTTTTTTTGGCCGAGCCTACAGGCTCGGATGACCCACATTAAACTCGGCCTTGTGCCACATATATCCCTCGTGGTGGGTCTGTTAAATATTAACAATGATAGACTGTTCTACCGAGGCTGTGACTGTTCACAACTCATGTCTAAATCACTGCTTTTGGCAGAGAGGAACCCGGACTAGGCTGTGCCGAAGGGCAGAGATTCGTCCGGGGAGGTAGACAGATCCGAACTCGTTTATGCAGGTTCTACGGGGATTTTTTGGCCGAGCCTGCGGGCTTGTATGACCCACGTTACTCGGCCTTTTGCCACATATATCCCTCCTGGTGGGGGTGTTAAATATTAACGGTGATATAGACTGAACGCTGGTCAACCGACACACACTCCCAAGTCGCGTAAAACACTTCTGTTTTATTTATTGTTCAATACAATATTTATCTGCAACCTCTTATTTTTAACCAAATACTTGGTCACAACATTTAAACAGCAAGAATTCTTTCAAACTCGTTTTATCGAACAATATCGACAATTTCTGTCTCTTCAATATTTTATTATTTTTTTTTCTGATTTCATTTATTGTTTCCATCCATATCATCCATCTCATATCACGCAAACGTGGCAAAAGTCACGCATATAAAGGTAATGGTTGGTGCCATCACTATACCGTGATGTCAGAAAAATGTCCAAACCTATATCAGTTATGCTATGACATGTGCTGAGTCAGTGTGAAACTCGGTTAGTTTATTCAAGGTCAGGCGACGTGAATTATCGATGCTCGAATGGGACGTAGTAGAGACGACAGACGAATAGAATGATTCCGTTTTTTTTAATTGTGGTAATATCCTTTGATGTACGGGGTCATTTGGCAATCTGGAATACCGAATAGAAGGAATCACCTCCCAGCATGGATTGCAGAATATCCGACAGTAGGTGCTTTAGAACCATGACAAAAGACGTCTCGCGGAATTGATTCAAATGACAGCCTCTTTTCAGTGCAGGATATATCAGGAGGTCAGTTCAACGTACTTTAGCTTCCATGTTACATCTGTTAATACCATGAGACATGACTCAGCACCCTTCACGGTCACCGTTACGATGAGCCGCGGTTGCATTGTTTGGGGCTGATTGTAGGATTCATTGTATGTTTGCATTTGTTTTGGGATGATAGTAGGATCCGAATGAATCTCCAGCTGCGGGATATCTACCAATCGCCCCACACGGTCAGATGTGGCACAAGGCCAAATTTAATATGGGGTATCCGAGCCCGTAGGCTCAGCCCAAAATTTCCCGTAGAACCCGTATAAAAAGGTGTCGGATAGCTGTTGCCATGTAACCTGTCGCGTGACCTTTGGAGGTCCATTGCCTGGAGAGATGCCTTGAACAGAAACACTTGGCATGACCTCTGAATGATCTAATTCAGAGGTCGGCAGCCTTTTGCTATTTGTCGACTTATAAAGATAAAGATTTTAAATGGTAATCCCTTCAGTAAACAGTGGATATGGATACTTCCCCTGATTCCTTAGATCTGGTCAGCATCCTACGGCATGCATGACACCCGTGGCACGCTAAGGAATTTCCAATGGCACGCAGCCGCAAATGAATTTCTACATCAGGCTGTTTT